TCGGTTGCAATCGGTTGACATTAAATATTTCGGTTCGGTTACCCGACTAAGGAATTTTTTCTCGGTTCAAATCACTACTATAGAGGCTTCCTAACTAAATAATATAAGATTTAATAAGCTAGAACTGATTAATAACCCTAAGAAATCAGCTGATTTCTGCCCGTTTCCTTATTGGATAGTTTATCTTGTGTTGTGCAAAATCCGTGTATAAAACATTTAAAAATTGATGTTGTAAAGGAATTGATGTGAGCCGAACACTATTGTTTTATCGACATTTTGTGACTTGTATTAAATTAATAATATGTGGCTTCTTGAAGAGAACAATTTGAAGTTTACTATTCGGTGATACATAATGAAAGAATAACTGAATTCTTAATATTAATCGCTATTTTTACTTCTTGAATACGTACTTCTCGATATATACTAATTTAGTATGTCCCATATTTAAATTTCATTGTTTTATAAACGATAAGTTGAAGGAAAAAAAAAAAAAAAAACAAAAATCCCGGATTTCAAAGTCTGTTTTGCGTAATGATTGGCTTTGTAGATCTGAATAAAAAATCCAATTATGACGACGGTGGGGTTTGAACCCACGCATGTTTCCATACCAGGGCCTAAACCTGGCCCCTTGGACCACTCGGGCACGTCGCCAAATCATATGGTTGACTTTTTTAATATGTATGTTATTAAGTTACATAGATAAATAAAATGCAACATAAAAAGTACAGTATACTCGAAATCACATGTAATTGAATGATATTATGGCTAAAGCTTAATTAGCTAATGCTAATAATCCTGGGTAAAATTATAAAAATCTATAAATTATTTGGCCAAAATTATAATTTTTCAATAATCTTATTTTAAATCCAAAAATATACATAATTTCTATTTATATTCTTGCTAGCATTGGACTTAAGTCCATAAAAGAATTCATTATAGTGAATAGAGACTTGTATTCGAATTTTTCAATAACTACCTGGTCAATTCGATAAAATGGATAAAATTTAACAAAAATATTATAACAAATTTATAGAATTCATTCCAAATTTTTATCAATTTTGGTTATGTTCTTGTCAAAGTTTAGAATTTTTATTAAAAAAAAGAAATTGATGTTTCTATTAACTCATTCTCATATAATGAATAGCTGCATTGATCTTTATGTCGACGAAAATGTTTTGTCCATAGTATTATCAATACTGTCTGATGATATAGTCAGGAAACTAGATACCAACAAAAGATGATATTTCTCTATTAAACTTACAAGTTTCGTTTTTTCGGTCATCGAAGAATTCCATTAACAATTTTCAATATACTAAAACTAAAAGTCAACAAAGTCAATCATTACTTTGTTCATTATTTATTGTCACGACTGAGCTGGAAACAGGTGATGCTAAAAATTGGATATTAAAAAACCATCTATACATTTTATTAAATTTTCATATTGAAATACTGGTAGGTAGGTCCAATTTTCAGCATAAGCTTCAATCGCGATAATGCCCACAATACTGTATCATGAGGACTTATTATTGGCAAGTTTGCAGGAATCAAAAGTCACCAACATTTGTTAATCAAAAAAAACTCTCTAATTCGAACGAAATAGCATTTATCCAAATTAAGTTTACAAAATCGATAAAGTATTTCGATATTTACGTCTGATTTGATTTGAAAATTTTATATTACTCTTGAATTATTAATTTCCTTTGGTAATTTCCTTGAGAATGATTCTGATTATTGTTAATTGTTTGCTTAGTTTCGGTATTTTTTTAATCATCGCTATGACCATTTGTGTCCTTGAATAATAACTAACAGTTCCACCGAATTGTACTCAAATCGCCAACTTGTAATCATCAAATTATACTCCATCGAAAGATCTTTTCAACTTTATCATATTGTGAATGTGATGCTTCGGCTCAGGTTAAGATTTCTACCTAAAGTTATTAGCGTCATAGGTTTGCCACAGGCTAGTGGCGGTTGAGATATTGTCTACAACGAGAAGACATAACTCCACGGGTACTTTAGGTGTAGTCAACAGCAAGTATGCATTTCCTTGAATAGTTACTAATGTAATCTATTATTAATTATAGTTGTTTATGAATTATTGATCTTCACGGTATATCCTCTTCTGTCCTGAATGAATTTTATTACATATCGTTTTATCCAGAACAAAATTACTATTTCTTACCTCATGGCACTGGAAATGGATAATCTAAAAAGAAAAATTTTAGTTGTTTTTTTATACGAAATTTGACGAGGTAGTAAATCATAGCATGATATTGTTATCTGGTTATCGTTATCATTATCGTGATATTCTCAAGTCATTACTAGGTGGTTTGATAAGTAATATCATTTTGCGCCAAGAAAAATAAATATAATATTTTAATAACTACATTTATTTACGTGTATTTAAAAATTACAAACATTAATAAATCATTTCTTTTATAACAATATATCTGATACACGATCAAATAATTTTATAGTCTGAATAACTGAACAAAACAAAATCTATTCCATAAAATAAAACTAAGCTCTATTAATTTAAGTTACTAATAAATTAGTTACTAATAATAAATTAATAATAATGAACATTTATTTTTTAAAAATCCACGGTTACAATTCTACCTTCAATCATTGGTGCAACAGTAACCCAATCCTTTACAAATTCTATTTTCTTTGGTTCTATCTCTACTGCTGGTGTTGGTGTAGGTGTTGTTTCTTCACTATCCTCTTGTATCTGCACATATTCACCCATAGAGATAGATAGAGCATTACTAATTCTTTTGCGAGATATATTTTCATACGCGGATTTTTCTCGTTTTGTCTCAGCAAGCTTTTTCCATGAAGCCACAGCTCTAAGAACAGCTTCTTTTGTACGAGCTTCACAGCTCATATTAAACTTAATTGCGCTAATATAATAAAGGCCAAGGAAATACCGTCTAATTAAAGTGTTAAGAAGCATACCATTTTCAGAATCCACAAGGTATTGTGTAGTTGGTTCATTAAAAGCTTTGTATCCATCGTAACCCATAGCCAAATAATTCCGCGTACAAACAGTATATATTTTTTGCATATCAAGTTTTCCAATAATACGATGTGGACCAGGATCTTCAGATATGGATTCATCTTCATCACCTTCACCATCTTCGGATGAATTTTGTCTTTCGGTTAACCATACATTTCGCAAACGATCGCCAGGTTCAGCATTACGATTATATTCCACTTTTAATCCACTTACAACCGGGAAACGACCTTCCTGTTTAGGAACCATTGAAAGGGCACTTTGTAGAACATCCCATATCTGCTGTCCAGTAACACGAATAACAACAACAGTATCCTCGAAGGGAAATATTTCGAGAATATCGCCTAAAGTGATTTCCCCATCATATATTGAATCAGATCGAATGGTTCCAGCGCATAAGATAGCGCAATCAATATTAAATTGGATACATGGTTGATAAGCATAAAGCATTAAATCCGCAATAAAGTTTGCAAATGCATTCTCTTGTGTACGAAGCATCGAGGAACGACAATCCCAGGGTGTTGCAGTATAAGCTATAGGCTTTGACATATTTTTAAAGATTTCAGAAGTAGCCGAAGCAATTAAATCAAGAAAATGTTCATCTTCAACAATGGATGAGTTAATTTCTCGTCGTGTTACTATAAATGATGAGAGAAACAAATTATTAATCAAGTTTCTTTTTTATAAAACTAATTAAAAAAATAAAAAAATATTAAATATCAAACCAGTCACAGTTTTTATTCTTCTAAGGGATTTACCATCATCTTTATTAGTATTTTCATCGATATCGAGATCTATGATACTTAATTCTCTGAAATCAGTTCCACTCTTCACGACTCTTACACCATCATCATCCTTAGCATCTTCTAATTCTTCTCTGGTCCACCCATCAATGACATTACATCCTTTACCAACGTAATAAAAATGATCGTGTCTATTCAGAAAAGTTGCATGAATAAATTTTAATTAAATATAATTTAAGAATAAAAATTATTAAAATAATAAAAATAGAATAATAAACTACCCTCCAAGAATTAAATCAATAGAGTCTTTACATTGTTTAGCAAGTAGAATATCATTTGATAATCGACAATGAGTGAGAGCAATAATAATATCAACGGCGTGAGGACCGTTAGGGTCACGCAATTTTGCAGAAAGCTCATTGCCAACGCTTATAAAATCTTTATATTTTAAACTTGATGCAAGATTAGGAATGGTTTCAAGCCATTCTCTGGAACAAATAAAAATTTTCAATATATAAATTAATTCAAATGATTAAGCGAATATTTTTAGAAAAATCGAAAAAAAAAAAATCATTATTATTATTATTTATTATTATTTACTTTTCAACCAATCCTATAATTCCAATTTTGAGTCCATTCTTTTCCAAAACTACAAATTTTTTACTTCCAGCCACAGCTTCATCAGTTATCGAATCAATAACATTAGAAAGGAGCCAAGGGAATTTAGTCATTGCAACTAATCCCTTAAGAGTTGGCAAGCCAAAATCGAAATCATGGTTTCCAATACAAGCAGCATCGATTCCAAAATCATTCATTGCTGGTACCTAATAAAATATATATAATTATTAAAATTAAAAAAAAAAAAAAAAAAGATTAATAATCGAAAAAATTGCAGTACCATATGAGTTCCTTTACTAATACTACTTTCGACTGATGGATTAAAAACATCACCGCTAAAAAATACACAAGAATTTTCAACACCATATCTTTCCCGAAATTCTTTAATCACTGTAGCAAACCGAGCAGCACCACCGACAGGTTCATTTTTCTGAG